AGCTTGGATCGGGACTGGCGAGCTGCAGCGTGGCCGTGCCGGAGTTGTTGCGCACCGTGTAGCCCAGCTTGACGGACTCTCCGTCCACGAACGATTGACCGCTGGTCAGGGGAATTCTGCACACGCGGCTCGTGGTCGGCGTGAAGACGCTCAAACTTGAAGGGTAATAGACCACGTCCGATCTTGAGGAAACGTAATTTACGTTGCTCGACTGGAGCTTGTAGTCGAGGCTCTGAACCAACTCATCATTGACGGCAGCAGTCACCTGCTCCATACTGTTTACTTGTAGCGAAAGATTCATGCGGCCTCCGGCTCGCTCGCGCTTCGAAGCGCCTGGAACGACGGGGGCGGTGCCGCGCGCGACGGGCGACTCGCTGCCCGAGGACTGCGCCAGTGGAGCGGGGTTCAAGCCCGTGGGGAAGCGCGTGGGCCTCGCGGGACGAGCCTGCACTCGCGGGGGCGGCTGTGCCCGCGGCTCCGATTCGCCGTCGGTGTCCATGCGGTAAAACTGCGTCCGCGGGCGTTGCTCTCGGAGCTGAAAGTGCTGCTCAGCCCCAAACTCCTGCATCCCATTCAAGGTCTGGATGTCGGGGGCCGAGCTGGGGCGCGAAGCGTCCGTGTCCGTGCCTCCTCCTCCGCCCCAGCCCAAAAAAAGGTGCTCTGCCGCCACCATGCCGCCGTGCAGTGCCCATGCGGTTCCCACGAGTGCGGCCGCCCCGCCTGCCACAGCCAAGCCTCCCGCTGCTGCTCCCATGCCCGCAGCGGTGCCCAGTGCCGCCTCGCCGAACAGCGCAAGCGCGCCCGGGCCCGCTGCGGCCTCTGCAGCACCTGCCGCTTCCGCAGCCCCCGCAGCCATTTCTGCGGTGGAAGCGAAGCTCTCGGTTGCTTCGGCCTCGGCCACCTGCTCGCTCATGAACTGCTCGATGTCTCGGGCTGCCGTCCTCTCCACCTCCTGGGCCCGCTGGCCCGCTCGCTCCAGCAGCGGCTCCACTTTGCTGGGCCGGCCGATGATTTGCGGAGGGGCCACCTCGTCAGGCGGTGGTGCTAGGCCCTCGGGCGTGCGCGGGATGCGCCTGCGCGCAGCGTTGTAGAGGTCTTGCCCGTGCCCCGCCATGGCGGAGGCGGAGCCCGCCAGCCCCGCCGCAGCTCCCGCCGCGGCCTGGGCCTGCTGCAGCCGGCCCAGGAAGCCCGGCGCCCGCGGCGGGTTCAGGCCGTCGTTGCGCAGAGCCTGGCCAGGGTCCACGGCCCCGAAATCCGGTTCGCTGTCCATGTCGAAGGCTCCCTTCTCGGGAAGGGCACCCCATCGTAGCCTTCGTTGGCTTTTTTCGTAGGCTGCTGCAGGGTCCACGGTCGTGTGGGGCAACGGGGCGGGCTCGGGCTCGCTGCTCTGGGGATAGTCATCTAGCCAGAAATGCGAGGAAGTCAGGATGGATGCGTTGCGGTTCGGGAGGTTGATGGGCAAGGGCTCGCCCTCGGCGATGTAGCCCAGGACCTGTGAGTAGGACGGTCGCACGCGGAAGCCGTGCGCGCGTCGCTCCTCCATGTCTTTACTTGACACTCGTTGTCGACATCCCGATGGGCGCCCCGGAGGGCACCCCGGAGCGGCCGCCGCATTGGCCGGTGAAACGGTGTTCAATGTAGGTGGGACCTACATTGAAATGATTCACGATTAAAACACGCTCTACCTTAGAAGCTGACGTGCAGCGGGCGGGTGGACTCATGTGGGACTCATGTGGACTCATGTGGGACTCATATCGACTCATGTGGGACTCATGTTGGGGGCATCTTTACATCAAGCCGCCGTAAACCCCAGAGTCGGACGTGTTGCGCCCGGCGACCACGTCCCGCGCAACTCGGCGCACGCCCGCCCGCTCGGCGGGGGCCCACCTCAACTGGGGGATCCTCCTGTTGACGGCGTCGACTGCACGCCCCACATCATCCGCATAGGCCTCGCCCTCCTGGCGCTGCCGCCGGTTGGCCAACCATTCATTGAACGCTCTTGCATCGATCAATTGTTGCTGCCGCTTGTAGAGCAGCGGCGTCAGGTTGTAGGAAGGGTACTGCTTGTGAAAGGCCCGCAGCATCGCGGCCTCGTTGCGCCACTCCGGATAGCGCATCATCTTTAGATATCCATGGAATTGCGGAGAAGCAACTCGTGGAAGCGGTCGGCGCGGGAGAGCTGCCGGGCCTGGCGGGCCTCCGAGGGCGTCATGCCCGAAGGCCGCTCAGGGGGCACGGGCTGTTGTGGGGGCTCTTGCTGGGGCTCCGGCTGCGACGGCTCAACTGGCTGAGGAGGCTTCGGAATCTCCGCCACGGCCACAGTCGGGGGCGGCTTCGGCTTGTTCTTCGAGCCTGGGGGTCGCCCTCGCCTTTTGGGCTGCGGCGCTTCTTGAGGAGCCTCGGTCGGCGGCTCGGGGGCTGCCGCTGCAGGGGGTTCGGCCACCACAGGCTTCGCCGGCTGGGCGGGCTCGGGGGCCACGGGAGGCTCGGCGGCCACAGGAGCGGGTGCATCTTCCTCAGCGATTTATTCTCCTAAACCATTTTCATCGTTCGGTGTCCAAGAAGATCAGGAAGGACACGCTGGTGCCTCTGGTGTCCACGACATTGCCCTGGTAGTCGGTGAGCTTGAAGCGCAAATGCCTCAGCGTGATGGGCCCGTGTAGGTTCACCCAGTGCCCCTCCGAGGTCTCGGTCTCCATGACATGGCCCACGCCCTTGGACACCACGATCTTGCACAAGATGTCGTGCCCCAGCGGGCCGACCGTGGTTTCCCCGTTGGCCAGCGAAGGGCAGCGCAAGTACAGCTCTGAGAACGGATTCATAGTGACGAAGACGAAGCGCTGCACGGAGCCCGTGAGGTAGCTGGGGCCCAATAGATGATTGATGCTCAGGGGCTTGCTGGGCGAGGCGCCCGGCGGGTAAGGGCCCGTGCCCGGAAAGCGCTGCCGGAGCTCGGCGTCGTTCAGGATCAGGCGCACAACGTCGTAGGTGACGTCCAGCTCATTTGTTTCGGCTGTGTACGAGCACGCCGCGAAATTGCTGGAGATCCACGCCGCTAGCCGTGGGCCCGTGTATGCGCCCACGGGGAGCTCGGCGTAGTGCAGGGTGCCGGCCACCTCGTCCTCCCAGTACAGGAAGGTCCCGCGGTCCGTGCTCAGAAAAGCGTCGGCGATGCGCACCTTGTAGACGGCCAGCTTGGCCCCGCTCTGGATGTGCACCGACTCGCCGATGTCGAACGAGAAGCTGCTGTCTGTGCCCTGCGTGCGCAGGCGCGAGTCCACGTAGATGGAGGTCATGAGCTTTCTTTTGCGCCTGAAAATGCGCGTGGGGCGGGCGGAGAAGTCGCTGGCGGTGGACTCGTCGGAGACCTGCCGGGACCTGTCCGGCGGGGGCCAGTTCCGGCTCGGGTCGTAGATGCCCTGCGTGCTGCTGCAGCACCTAATGTTGCTGCACTCGCTCTCGCACAGGGGCCCTCCCCCCAGCAGCTTGCCCACTATCTGGCTGAGGATCGTCCCCATTTAGCACAAACTTACGGTCGAAGCGCGCCCAAAACATGTCTTCCTTGGGCGCGCGGAGGTTCACCGTCCAAAACGAATAGGGCTCCCGCGTGGCCTCCTCGTACATGGCGTAGAGGGTCTCCTTCGGGAGCATGGCAGAGAGCTCCTCCACCAGGGCGTCCAACTCTCGAGCTGATTCCGCAGCCGGAAGACGCAGTAGAACATCACGTTGACCCGCACGGCCGAGCTCATGAGCCGAAGCTTTTGGGTGGACACCCAGGTATTTATGCAGAAATGTCTACCCCTGATGAACAGTGTGTCCAGGACTCCGTCGCCCGTCTTGCGGTGCACCGCAGGATTGTCGGCATGATCATCCAAAACTATCAATACTTGGTATAGTTTTTTGAGGCCCAGCTCCTTGCTCTTCTGGGTGATGCGCTTCTGGTCCGCGATGATCTTCCGCAGCGCACCCTCGTCCCAGTCCTCCCACCAGCACTGCTCCCGGTCGGTGTTGACCCCCAGCTCGTCCCGGATGTAATCCTTGACAGGCTGCCAGGCGGAATCGACCTCTACCGAGGGCGAAAAAACAAAGATGCGCTCGAAGCAGCCCCTGTATTGCTCCAAAATCATGCTCACCAGGAGCACCGTCTTCCCGGAAGCCGACGGGGCACACAGGATCCCGTTGGCGGGGGGCTTGCAGACCACGGGGTCAGGGGGCTGCTTGACGGAGTACTCAGGCGTCTTGAAGAGACGCACCTTGTGTTGCGCTCGCGGCGATCTCGTCGCACAGCGCAGGTGGGATGGAGTACAACTGGTCCCGCGAGTTGCTGCCCTGCCGCCCCTTGGTGGGCCCTCGCTGCGCGGCCTCGGGGTGCCGAGTTCCTTGGAAGGCCTCGCAGCGGTCGCCCTTGCAGCAGGGGCCCTGGGAGGGCGTCCAAGGCAGGTTGTGCCACACCGCCGTGGGCTTCTTGTACCGGAAGCCGTACTTGTGACCCGGTCCATGTGCAGCCCCTGCGTGTAGGGGCGGGTTTTGAGGCGCCCGGTGCTCGGGTTCTCGATGGCCCACCACTTGGGCTTGAGGTAGTCGATGATCTCGAGCGTCTTGAGCACCAGGGCGTCCCTGACCGGCAGGTTGCAGGGGCGCTTCTTGAGGGCGATGCTGAACTCGGTGCAGCAGGGCGAGGCCCAGACCATGTCGAAGTGCCCGGGCTCGAAGGCCTTGTAGTCCCACTGCAGGATGTCGGAGCAGATGGTTGGATTGGATTTTGGGTTGCTGTCAAGACTCGTTACCTGCCAGCCACGGGCCTCGAAGGCACGGCCGACCGACCCCGTGCCACTGAACAGCTCCAGGAGTCTCATTTGATGAAGGGTAAGAAAATGCCCACAGCACCAGCAGGCAGGCTAGCAGGGCCAGGTTGACCCCCACGCACTCCGCGGTGGATAGCGGGGACGCTGCGCGTTCAGCGGCTGGCATTTTTTCTCTTGTTGGGAGAAAAAGGAAGCATGAGCGACAAGCCAAGCGCGGCGATCAAGCTCGGTGACCTCCTGGCCAACCCGAAAGGCGGCAAGTTCTTCCCCGTCGCCGCAGAGGACGGCGGGCCGGCCGTGTGGCAGACGTCCGACTGGCCGTGTGGCAGACGTGCGACTGGATCCGCATCCTGTGGCACCCCAGCGCCTACAACGGCGAGGACGCCCGGCGCCTCCCCCTGTGCCTGGAGCCCAGCGAGGCGGCGAGAGCGGAGCTGGCCGGATTCGAGAAGGCCCTCGTGGCGCAGCTGGCCAGCCGAACCGTGGCGGACCCGAAGATCTTCGGCCGCTTGCTCACCACCCAGGATATGGAGAGCCGCTTCGTCTCCTGCCTCAAGAAGTCCACGCGAGGGAACCCCTTCATCAAGCTCAAGCTCTGTTTGGACCGTGCGCCTGTGGGATCCCGAGCAGCAGCCTCTGCAGGAGCCGGGGTGCCTGACCAATCGGCAGTGCAAGCTGCGCGCCGAGCTGAAGCAGGTCTGGCTGATGAGCGGCCAGTGCGGTCTGCTGATTGAAGTGACCGACCTCATGCTCAAGGACGAGGAGCCCCAGAGGTGCCCCTTCTGACAGGAGTCAACATGAGTCCCACATGAGTCCACATGAGTGCCACATGAGTCCACATGAGTGCCACATGAGTCCACATGAGTGCTACATGAGTCAACATGAGTCCCACATGAGCCCACATGAGTGCTACATGAGTCAGCATGAGTGCTACATGAGTCAACATGAGTCCCACATGAGCCCACATGAGTCCACATGAGTGCTACATGAGTCAACATGAGTCCCACATGAGCCCACATGAGTGCTACATGAGCCCACATGAGTCCTACATGAGCCGATCTTCTATTATCCGAAGGGTCAGGTTCGGGCGGCCAGCATTTTTTTGTGGGCCCCTGGAAAACATGTCGTGGATGCAACAACGCGAAGCGATACGACGTGCAGCCGACGCTGGGGCCAGACCACGGATCTCAGCGCAAGGCTCGCAGCTACTGCCTCTGAGGGACCACCGCCTGCAGTCCGTGCTCCTCTCGCGCCCGAATGGCCAGCTCACCCGCGCGGGCCAGTTCTTCTTCGGCCTCACCGGCCGGCGGCCCCCGAACCGCCAGTTCGACGAGGCCCAGCCGCTCATCCGAGACGGTGCCTCCGACTACATCCTCATGAGAGGGGGGACGCGGAAGCTCGTGCGCACCCTGCAGCCCAACGGCCAGTACCATGTCACCAAACTAGGAAAAGCCTTTTTCAAGGATAAGTACACGGAGTGGCTGGCTCATGTGCCCGTGATCATCCGGGGCCGCCGGAGGAACGGCAACCCCTACGAGCGCCATGACTACCTGCCCGTTATCACGCTGGAGCTGGGCCTGTCCCGGCAGAACGACGCTTGGAGTGAGGCGCAAATCGCGCGCAACGTGAAGGAGGCGGTGCTCCGGCAGCTGGGGCAGCCTGGAGAGGGCGAACCCATTTACATGATCAGTGGGGAAGTGTACATCCTCCACCCCACCAACGAGTGGGCCTACAGGTCCTCCTCCATGCAAGTTATTGACAATCGTGTAGACACGCAGATCCGCCTCCGTCAGCCCTTGGGGGCCTTACGGGAGGTCAGCTACCAGCTCTTCGCCGGAGACCAGATCCTCGCTAGTGCCTCCCCGGCAGCTGGCGGAGCTGCTGAAGCTTCCGCTGCAAGAGGTCCTGGAAGACTTTAACTCCATCTGTCCTGGGAACTGGCAGCAGCGGGGAGTGTCCCCCGCAGAGATCCGCACCTTCTGCGTGTGGCGCAACGCACCCATGTTCTACGCGGACTGCCGGGGCCGGCTGCTGGACAGCTTCCAGCCCACGGAGAAGGAGGAGCGGGCCGTCGCTTTCACCAGCTGGAACGGCCACGCCTTCTTCTACCGGAGTGCTCGGGCCGTGGCCAGCTGCGACGAGTCGGAGCAGCGGCCGCGCTACCGCCAGCTCAGGCGGGACACCCCAGTGCCCGAGTTCAAGGACTGGCAGCCCTGGGACGGAGAGATCGCCTCCGGCTACTTTTGGACCGAAGACATTCGCGGGGTCCGAGCGGACCTGCTGGCCCAGGGGCACCACCCGAAGGTCTCCATGCGGGGCTTGTGCGAGTGGTCGTCATTGCGCCTGCGAGTGCGCGGCGGAGCGGACTGCGTGATTCGGGAGCTCTGCAAGGATGCGGCGGTGCTGCAGCAGTGGACCGAGCGCCTGGGCGTGCCCTATCGCGGGCAGCGCCTGGCCGGGGCCAGCTTGGAGGTCTTCTTGCACCTGCTGCAGGGCAAGCGCGAGGACACGCGGAGCCGCCGGGAGGAGTTGCTGGCCCAACAGCAGGGCATGTGCAAGCTGTGCGGCGCGCCTATCGGTCTGGGGACCTTCGAGATAGATCACGTCATCCCGGTTTCCCAGTCCTTCGCCGGACAGCAGCTGGAGCTGCAGGCCCTGTGCTTGGAGTGCCATCGGACCAAGACCAGCCTGGAGGGCAACCACAGCACCACCTTGGAGAGCCGGTTCTGCCGGTTTGTGTACCAGAACTACGCGGCCTCGCCTCGGCTGCCCCCCTTAGTCTTCCAGCTGCAGAAGTGGGACGACTCCCGCCCCTGCCAGGGCATCGACGTGCGTCGCTGCCGCAAGAATGGGTTGGCAAATGCTCGCTTCCCGCTGCCCGTCTTTTCCCTGCTGGACTGCATCGTCCCCACGGAGGAGGGCAAGCTCGCAGATTTGACCTGGGTCGAACTGCCGTGCGACCGCCGCAAGGGCGTGCTGGACCGCCTGCCCTATGTGGGGAGAGGGTGGTACCCCAAGCCTGCGTGCGCCTACATGCTGAGGCGGGGCTGGCCAAGTGGAGCCACTTCAAGTGGAGCCTGGACGCCGCCGCGCACGTCGACCAACACTGCCTGGAGCAGGTCCTGGAGCGCATGGAGCAGAACTGGCCGGAGGGGGAAGAGCACTACGCCAAGCTGGCCATCAACAGCCTCGTGGGGCTTTTTGCTCGAAATCTAGAATTGGTTTATTCTATGAAGACTTCAAACCATGAGGTAGATGGGGAGGGCTGCAGCTGGCGCCAGACCTTCACAGATTCTGCTGGGAAAAGGCACTGGGATCACATCTTTGTCACCGAGCTGCTCTCCAACAGCAGCTACCGACCAATTCATGACTACATCATGGGAGCCGAGTACGTGGCGGTGGCCCGGATTCGGCAGGCCTTGGCGGAGGTGCCGAAGCGCTACCTGAAGAGCATCAAGACCGATTGCCTGGTGATGCAGGACGTCCCGAAGAAGCACCGGCCCGCCGTGGAGCGGCTGCTGCAGATGTCGCACCGGGACGGTACCCCCGTCTACAGGTACGAGGAGGTGGCCGGTTTGAAGGGCCAGTACCGCGAGCCCAGCATGGAAGCGGAGCCCATCCGAGCGAAGCCGTCGTGGCGCCGAGTGGAGGACCCCGTGGAGCACTGCCTGGACGGCGAGAGCTTGCTGCTGACGGGCTTTCCGGGAACGGGCAAGACCCACCTGGCCAAGAAGATCGTCGAAGCCCTTCGGGAGCACGGGGACACGGTGCACATCATCACCAAAACGCACGCGGCCGTGCAAAATGTCGGGCTGGGGGCTCAGACGGCGGACCACTGGGTGCGGCGGAACGTGCGCGACGGGCACTGCAGCGCCACGTGGCTGGTCATCGAAGAGCTGACGCAGCTCGATACTCCCCTGTGGGCTGACATAGCTTGTTTGAGCCTGAACAAGAAGATTCGCTTTCTGCTGTTGGGAGACTTTCGGCAGCTGCCCGCCGTGCTCGATAGCTTCGCGGGCGCGGAGGTCTGCAAGGAGCTGAAGGACAGCCAGCTGCTGCACGACCTGGCGGGCGGCTGGTGCCACGAGCTCTCGGAGCGCTGGCGCTTCGACGAGCGCATCTTCGAGTTCCTGACCTGGTTGCGAGTCGACGAGCCCGAGCAGGTCCCGCTGCTTGAGGCAGTGCGGGAGGCCCGGCGGCGCTTCCCGAGGCGGGGGGAGCCCGACGTGAGCCTGGTCATCTCCCATGCAAAGCGGCTCCAGATCAACGAGCGAGAGAACCGCAGGCTGGCGCCCGCCGATGCCCTGCTGGTGCAGTACGAGGCTCGGGGCGCGGTGCCGACGAATGCGCCGCAGACCATGAGGGTCTGGCCAGGGCTGCGGCTCATCGGAGCTGGCGGGAAGGTGCAGAAGGAACCTTCCTGACCGTGGAGGCAGTGGAGGGCGACGTCGTGCGCCTGGAGAGCGGCCAATGCTTCGCGGGCCCGGAGCTGCTGAACACACCAGGCTTTGCAGCGCCATCACCTACGCTTCGGTTCAAGGGCTGACCCTGAGAGGGAGAGTGTGGCTCTATGATGTAGAGAGTCCACACTTCACACTCAAGCACCTCTACATAGGCTGCTCTCGGGCCACCAATTCGGAGCTATTGAGCGTCCTGTGATTCTTCCAGAGCAAGGTCGGATTTCCGACCTTGCAAAAAAACGGGCAGCATTTCCCCAGGGCGGAGACCCAGGGGTGTGGGGTTTGAGGTGTTCGGAGCCGCCCCATTCCCTGGACGGCTCCCAGGCTCCCCAGCCTGCGCGAGCTTCACAGGAGGCGATGGGTTACGCATGGCCCCATCTGAACCCTAAGCGTCGGGTACCTCCTCCACTCGCTGGACCGCCGGGCCGCGACCCAGAGCCTCCCCCCGCAAGCGAGGTTCCTCGGCCCTGGGCTGCAGCTCAGCGTGCCCCACACGGACAGCAACGGACGCCGTATTGAAACTATTTGCAAAGGTGGCTCTCTATGGGGGGGTACTCATGTAGACTCATGTAACACTCATGTGGACTCATGTGGGACTCATGTGGACTCATGTGGGACTCATGTGGACTCATGTGGACTCATGTGGACTCATGTGTGGGACTCATGTGGACTCATGTGGGACTCATGTGGGACTCATGTGGACTCATGTGGGACTCATGTGGACTCATGTGGGACTCATTTCGCTCTCTCTAGGGGAGGTGTTCCAGTTCTCCACTCTGTGGTGGATATGGGGCTGGTTACGGGACGTCGATGAGAATTATGCATTTCGAGAGGCTGTCGATTCTGCCGGCTGGAGGCCGCAGAGCTGGGAATCGGAGGGGCTCTGAAGTGCTTGCAAAACAGCCGCGCGGTGACTCGAGAGCAGATGCATCGCGCGCGGCGGGCTTCGGAGCTGCAGGTCGTCAGCTCGCAAGTGCATCGCGCGCTAGCGCGCGCTGGTAAGCACGCCTGACTGGTAAATAGCTGGAACTCAATTTGAGGTCCAGGTCGAGAAATTTCTCGATCTGTCGGTCAATTTGACCGACAGATCGAGAAATTTTTCGAGACCAGGGGGCGGACCTTTGCGCGCTTCGCGCGCTAGCGCGCGTTGTGAGGGGCGGCGGCGCTTCGGAGCGCTTGCAAGGCGCGGCGGAGGCTTTCGAGGCTGTTTGGCAGTCAGCTCGAAAGCGCTCGGCAGCTTGAAAGCGCTCGGCAGTCATCTCGTAGCTGTTTGGCAGTCAGCTCGTAGGCTGTTTGGCATGCAGCTCGTAGGCTGTTTGGCATGCAGCTCGTAGGTTGGGCATGCAGCCTCAAAGCAGCCGCGAAATCCCGTTTTGCAAGCATTCTAGAGCCCCTCCGATCGCTCGAGCTCCGGGCCGTAGGCTCGAGAATCGACAGTCTCTCGAAATGCATAATTCTCATACATCTCTCATAACCAGGCCTGTAGCCACCACAGAGTGGAGAACTGGAACACCTCCCCTAGAGAGAGTGACGTTTCTTCGTCACTTTGCTTTCGGAAAGTTACGAACTTGTCTGTCTTGACCAAACTTGCCCATGGATTGCTTTGCTTCCAGCGTTCTTGCCATACTTAACACCAAAATTGTCCAAGAAAGCAAAATCTGAGGCCAAGCATATTTTGCCAATAAATGCGGCAGACTTTTTAGGGTTTAGGGTTTTTTGCGAGAGTTTCTGCGTTGCCCAACCTTCTCCTCTTCAGAGTTATTTCCCTTCCTCCCTCACATTGGCTAAAGGGAGACAGTTGGAACCTCCGTCTCTTGCCCTCTTAGCCAATGTGAAGCACAGTCACAGATTTTTTAACTTTAAAAAAATCAAGAAAAACAGTTAGATAAATAAGGCTGATAAATGTGACAAGGCAAACAAGACAAAATTAAAAGTTTTCAAAAAGCAAAAAATTTTGGAGTCAAGACTGGACAAGACAGTGAGCGTAAAAGAAGTTGTTACCAGAAAGAAGCGATAGTTCCTTCAGAAGCTTTGGAGGAGAAGCTGCAAGCTTGCGAAGAGGAGCGACAGCAAAGCTAGAGGGAATCTGGGCGCCCAGCGGCGCCACACTCGCTGGAAGGCGTCCGACATTGCGTCCAAGCACTCGCCCTTTCTCGTCCAGAAAAGCCGCCGACCAGCGTCTGTAGTCTGTAGCAGCATCGACGTCGTGCCTTCCACCCAGGCAACAACCAAAATTGCTTGCAGTCACGAGTATGCAGGCGCTCTGTACTCCCTGAAACAAACCGCAAGTCAAGCAACAACGGGTCTACGACCTCTTTTTGTGTTTGAGAGAAAGACGTTTTACCGATTAAATTGCTTCCGTTTTGCTTTCTCTTGTGTGTGGTGTGTTGTTTTGTGCTGTTTGGCCACTCCACCTAGTGTGAACCGTCTCACCTTGGCAAGAGGGCCCATTGTGCTGCTGATGGTAAACGGGCGTTCGTTTGAAAAAAAAACGGGACACAAGTCCACTTTCTGAAGGGAAGCCGTTCCAGACCGAATTGTTTACAAGCAATCCAGCGGCGGGACTTGGAAAGAAACAGATTATGTTTTGGCCACCAGTGAATTTACAGTTAAACCCTTGTTTTGGTTGCAGCAGTTGAAAGCTTGGTTTGGGCCAGTTCATGAAGGTTCCTGCAAAATGAACGGAAAAAAGCAAGCTAACCATCTTTAACCATCTTGGTCAAGAGGGTCTGGAACACTGCCTGCGTTGTTGGAGCACAAGTCCAAAGCCTGTGCAGAATGGGTGGCAAAGTCACATGATAACAGCATTGAAAATGTGTAAATTAAATTTCTAAGATGAAAATTCTGTTCGCACTTTTAACCAGGATCGAATTTGATTGACAGCGGCGTTTGCGTTGGTTTGGTGCGTGCGCTTCGTGCGTTTCGTGCGCTTCGTGCACTTCGTGCGCTTCGTGCCTGGCGGCAAAATGGGTGCGAAGCATTCTCCCGCTTTGTTCACTGGGAAACCTTTCACTCGGAAGCTGGAACCAATCTGAAGTTTCAACCCTCAACAAACTCGAAACCCCAACTGCTGCTGCGACGAACACTGCTGCTGCTGCTGCTACTACTACTACTACAACTACTACAACTACTACAACTACGACAACTACTACAACTACTGCAACTACTGCAACTACTACAACTACTACAACTTCTACAACAACAACAACAACAACTACTACAAGGCTGGCAGTTTTGGGTGTCTGAATTTTTGCCATCATCTCCAGCTCCTGGAAGAGCGAAACCTGTTTCAGAAGACATGTGTGCTGCACAACTTTGGAGAGTCTTTGGCGCCTGGACGGTGAAAGAGTGCAGAGTGAGCAGTGATGCAAGTGATGTAAGCAGCCCGGCCTCTGTGACTGCTGTTGTTTCCAGGCCTTGCGATGTTCTATTTTTGCGGAAGCTTACAATGCGAGTGTAGTAGAGTGTAGTAGAGTGTGGTAGAGTGTGGTAGCATGTAGTAGAGTGTAGTAGAGTGTAGTAGAGTGTAGTAGAGTGTAGTAGAGTGTAGTAGAGTGTAGTAGAGTGTAGTAGAGTGTAGTAGAGTGTAGAGAGTGAGTAGAGTGTAGTTGAATGTAGTTGAGTGTAGTAGAGTGTAGTAGAGTGTAGTAGAGTGTAGTAGAGTGTAGTAGAGTGTAGTAGAGTGTAGTAGAGTGTAGTAGAGTGTAGTAGAGTGTAGTAGAGTGTATTATAGTAGAGCGTAATAGAGTGTAGTAGAGTGTAGCAAAGTGTAGTAGAGTGTAGTAGAGTGCAGTAGAGTGTAGTAGAGTGTGGTAGAATATCCTTGAATGTCATGTGTAGTCGAGTGGAAAAAATGGAGAAAAGTGGAGAGAGAGAGTAGCAGAGAGAGTAGCAGAGAGAGTAGCAGAGAGAGTAGTTGGGAGATGCTATCCATTCCCCACTACCTCCTTCTGCTAGAATTCACATCCTTGACCGCAGGGAGAATTGGATTTGCGCTGGTTCCATTCCTTCGCTTTGAGGCAGTTGAACTCGCGTGCCATATCTCTCAGGGCACTGCCATGCCATGCCACTGTTGCTCCATGGCATGGCAAATCATACTGTGCAAGGCCGGGTCCCCAAAATGGAGTCTGGAGTCGGGCTTCTTTGACAGTTTTAAAGTTTAAAGGCCTTCTTCTATCATCGAGTGCTGTGTGGCTTTTGATCATATGGTGCTTGCAACATGATCCAGCGACAGACCTTGCTGCGTCTAGATGCCAGCAACTCAGACATGGATTTTGCAAACAAAAGAGTCAGGTCTTTAGGGGGGACGAGGGGAGGGAAACACCTACAAACATGGACGGGAGTCGGCTTGCAAAAGGAGGAACAAGGCCCCTGTACCTTTTTACCTATGGCTGCGGGTTGCTAGTGCATGCTGCATGGTTGATGTAAGGCTCGTGCCGCATCAGCCAAGGGCTTAGGACTACTCAGAGAGTGCATGAATGCAGCAAACCATCGATGTATGGTCAGCGAAGCTTCGTTGTGTAACCGCTTGGACTGACACCACCAGTTCTAGAGCTGGATTGAATGATTGCTTGATTGCTTGTTTCTAAGCATTTGCCTTGAGCCTTGACGGGATGGCCTGGCGGTGGCCTTCATGCATCGCCTTGCTTGCGATCGTGGTCCAGGCCGGTGGCAGCTTTTCGATGAAGTGCATCACATGTTGTAGTTGTAGGGCCCGAGGGCCCGTGTTGTAGTAGATGCAGGCCATCGAGAGCTAAAACCGCGGGATACGGCGGGCGTAGTCACTTCGGGGTAAGTGCTTGCGTCGCCCAGTGGAATGATGACCTCAAAGGCTGCACAGGCTGCAGGAATTTGGTGAGGCGGAGGCCTTCAGCTAAATTGACATTCGCCTGCGCAGATTGCACATGCTGAGCTGCGGGCTGTCGGCTTGCCGCAACCGGTTTGCGATTGCCAATGCTTTTCCTTCTTTTGGATTTTTGACTTCATTTTTTCTACGTACCAATATCAGCAGGAATCAAGCGGCATTTCCTCCACAAAATTATCGATTGTCAAACTAGAAGCATTGACAAGCCTCTGATACGCAACACTTGAGAGGGAACGCACGAACACCCGCCAAAATTCCTTGTATATGGCGTTTCTTGAGAGGCTAGTATTGTCGCATATTTTGCAAGAGGTCATGCTTCAAGTCTCCATGTCACCTGTGCGCATTGAGTTGAGGCCCGTTGTGTTCATCCCTGGCTTTGCTGGAAGCTTGCTGGATGCGAATGTGAGCAGGGTACGCGCCGTGAACCCGCTGTGCAGCTTCATGGGGACTCCCTGCTGAAATCGTGGAGGTGTATTGTTGGCCCGCATGTTCATTTATCATGTACCACATTGAGTTTTGCAGCCTGAGCGTTGCCGAAGCATACTGTGTTTTCTCTGAACCATTCCGTCGCCGACTTTGGTTAAAAAACAAGGAAGCCAAAACAACAGGTTTGGCCCTTTAAAGAAGAGATCTGCTCAAAACTTCAAGAAAAGATTGAGTTGTTTGTCATAACAAAGGGGCCTTTGTTCGGGCATTCACCAACTTAGGGGGGAGCAGCGTAGGAGTGGGAGCCGGGTAGGGATAGGACGAGTGCTTGTCATGGTTGTTCCATCACTCCCAAACACTGGATTCTTTGGACCCGACGTTGCACTCCTTAACTGCAAACCTTCAACTGTATCGATGGCGCCACTCGTGTCGTTCACTGGTTTGTTGTTCAGATGAGACCCTAAATCCCCAAAAAAACGATAAGCCGTAGAGCTCCAGCCTTAAACCCGAAAGCCCGTAACCTCAAACTCCTGAACCCCCAGTCCCTAAACCGCAAAACGGGAAGTTCTAAATGTAAAAACAACAAGAAGTGACTGGATGAGTTTTGCTTTGTGCCGTGGGACATGTTTGCATCCAGAAGGCAAAGCAAGGACAACTCTGCAGCCCGGTGCCAAAGCCAAAACCAAGCCAATCTTTCAAGGTCGCGAATGCCTGCCACCGCACGCCAACCCGCCTTGCTTTAAGCATGCTTTAGCATAGGCAAGCACAGCCAAACCAACGTCATATACATGAGCACTCAAAAGCCCCAAGCCAAAGCCAAAAACAATGAAAGCCAACAGAAAAGAACGCAGGCGTGCGTACGCGGTTGACAATGGGGGGGGTGGGGGGGCACCTTTTCCCCCTTTTCTCCTAAACCCGCTTGTGACAAAGCAGTGCTCTTAGTACACGTCATAACACCAGAACAAAGTAGTAAACATGGCAGAAAGTATAAACAGGGTAGTGGATGTGGTGCACGTAGCAGAAGTAGTGAACGAGTCTGAGTTGCAGATGTCGAGTGCGCCGGCAAAGCGGGCGCACTAAATCTCGTGACCGTCCTCACCACTTTGACCATCTTGAGCGGGCTTGCCAAGAAGGTTAAGAGGGTCAAGAATATCAAGGAGCGTTCAAGATGGTCAAGGGGGTCAAGAAGGTTCAAAAGGGTCCTGACGCAAGAGGGTCAAGAAGGTCAAAACAGCCAAGAAGGCCCCTTGACCCTCTAAACTTTGCTTGAAAGTCTTGACCGCCTTGACCGTCTTGAGTGCCTTGACCACCGTGACCACCTTGGTCCTCTGGACAAGTCAAGAGGTGTGTCTAGATGTCATCGTTGTGCTTTGTCCTCATCCTGGCAGCAGTTGCAGGGACTGGTGGTGATGCCAAAGCAGTGGTTCTGTTCGTAGGTCGGGCAGCGTTCGGAGCAGTATGGTATCGTACTTGTCAGCACCTAGCAAGAGGTTGCGCCGCTTTCACGCTTTCTTGAGGAGACCCATTTGGGGGGAAGATTCCAAGTTTTTTTCAGGAGAGACCGTCTCTGGTTCAACCCGAAATACTTTGTCCCGGTGCTGGTCGATTGCTGGGTCGAAGAGATGAGCTGCCTGGCTTTGCGGTCCTGAATGTATTGAATATAGTCATCTTGCATCAGCTTGTTCTGCTTCAGCCTACAGCGACTAGAGAGGGCTTTGGAAGTTTCCTTTTTTCAGTTCTCTGATATGCTAGAGGAGGATGTGCAATCCTGACGCTGTTGCAGTGCGCGCCATAGCCGTATTCGTCTCTAATCGTCCGAGGCTTGCGGTTGAACGTCAGCGGTTCCATGGCCAGCGCACTGGAGCTGGATGTGGAACCGGAAGGTGTGCACGTCGACACCATCAACTTCGGTGTCGCGGCAGGATTCGGGCAGGTCCCGAGAAGCGTTGTTGCATGCCACACCAGACCCTCAATGAGTCCCTCATCCCTCAACTCCAGACTCCAACTCTGACACACCGCGAAAACCTCCCCCAAAACCCTCACGAGACAACCTCAGATCATCTCGCAAATGCCTTCGTGTGCACGGCAGCGGCTCGTTCGAAGAACGCCGCGTTGCCGCTGCAGATTGCGAAAAAACCACACCCCACTCGTGCCCCGAGGTAGTGTTGATGGCTCCCTCTACGACTATGGCGTCTATCACGCGCTGCTTGGCCTTGTTGGGCTCTACCAAGCAACATCCTGAACCTCCTGAACTTCATCCTGAATCATCCTGAAGCCAGGACCGGGATCTGGACACCAATCATTGCCCAGCTGGAGAAGCTGGGTTTCAATGCTTCGAACTTGTTTCTCAGCTGCACAGACCTCGGAGGGTTCTCTTGAGCAGGAAGCCGAGGAAGGTGAAGACTGTTGATCAGAACGGCCTCCTTTGAGTCACTGGATGTAAATTTGATGAAAACAGCTTTTCTTCTCCAGGTTCGCTGCACCGTACGACTGGCGGCGTGGCCCAGGTGGCTGGCTTGCTGTGTCAAGAGTTCATGACTGGGGGATTGTTTGTGACAAGCGGTTGCTGTGGTTTCTTGACAACCCTGCATCTTCGCGGCCCAGGTTATTGGAAGCTGCTTGCCTCAAACACTGGACTTGGGCCTTGAAGAAACTGTTCGAAGCTCCAGTGCTTCGGGATGTTCGAAGTAGCGATTTTTGCTTGGTAGTTTGGCTCTTAGGGCCATTGCGGTTTGGTGCCCGGATGTGGTGCTTTATTTCGAGCCCAGAACGAGGAAGCCCGCCGGCAGTCGCTGACCGTAGCCATCTGCAGCCATTGCTCCGTTCCCGACGTTCCCAACAAGAAGAACAACGAACAAGAAAAGAACAAGAACAACTCAACGCAGTCCTTTCCCCCAACTTGCCCCCCCAACTTCTCTAGCTTCTCTAGCTTTTCCCCTCTCTGAGGCAGCACGATTGGCCTCGCTTGAAGGAGTTCCTCGAGGAGAGCACTGAGATGCGTTGAGAGGTTGCATGATGATTGCCCTCTGAGACTGATATATCCTCTGAGTCCGAGGACCCCGCCCCCCCCCCCCCCCATTGAATGTCGGGTGAAGAGCGAGAGGAGAAAGTTCGGAACGCAGGGAGCCCTGCCATCATCATGGCCGTCTCCCAAGGCGGGGGGAGAGGGTGCAACGCAACCAGTGACTGTCATGGTAAAGTATTCTTGGGCCCCACCATTTTCTTCGACCCACCGCATATTTTGGGCCCGCTGGCTCCGGCTCGGTTTTCTACAAGAAAAATGAGAGCAACGACGACAACAGCGACATCGACAGCGACAGCGGCAGCAGCAGCGACCTATATCACACATACGAGCATTGTGTTTGCACGGGGGGGCGGGCTGCTCCCCCCCCAACCCCCAGCTCAGGAAAGCAGTATGCAAGCGTCAATGGCCTGTCCTTTCAAACCCTTTTAGAGCCCCCAAACAGCCAGGAATGCTGAATTTCATCGTACTCAAAAGCCAGGAAAGGGGGGGGGGGGCCAACGTTAGCAAGGAAAACGAGCCAGAGCCATCCAGAGCCACGTTAGGAAGAAAAAGCACCTCCGCCCCACATTTTTTGATTCCTCAAAGTGGATAGCCACCCCCTCCCTGGTGTTATAAAGAAGTTCAGGAATAGAAAATAAGGACATAGCAATATAAAGACATAAAGAAACAAAGAAAAAACGAAATAGAGATGAACAAACGAAACAAAGAAGTGCAACGAAATAAAGATATGACAAAATACAGAAATGATACATGAAGAAGAAATGAAGAAATAACTAAGGAAATACAGAAATACAGAAATTAGGAAGAAATGGACAAATACAAAAATGCATACAGAAATGAAGAACAACATAAAGCAACACGTAAATACCGACAAAAGACAGAAATGCAGAAACAGAGACTACGTAAAGAAGTCAAGCAGCAATCGAGCAATCAAGCAAGCAAGCAAAGGTATGGAGGTTGAAGGGTATCAAGGTATAAGAGTATAAAGGTAAAAGGGAGTTAAAGTCATAAAGGTTCAAAGGTATAAAGGCATGAAACGTATAAAGGTACAAAGGCATCGCGGTATAAAAGGCAGGAAGGTATAAGGTAGAAAGACATACAGGCATAAATATACAACAAAAGGTATAAAGAGATAGAGATACAAAGATATCCAGATACAAAGGTCTGAAGATATGGAGATGAAGTATGGAAATCACGAAATATACAAAGTGCATGAAGTAATACGCAAACAGCGAACTAAAGGAGTCAATGTAAAGAACTAAAAACAGACAAAATCCGCGAGACAGAGAAGTAGAGAACATGAGCAGTAGAGAACCAAAGAAGCAACGACATAAAAATGTAAACAAAAGCAGAAGCAGAGAAGCAAAGAAGTGAAGAATCGCGCAACCGAAGAAATTGAAGGAAACGAAGAATCCAAGAAGCGAGAAGCGAAGAGATGAAGAAACGAAGAAATCAAGAAATGAGGAAACGAGGAAATGAGGAAAGGAAAGGAAGAAAGTCAGAAACAAAGAAAGGAACAAAGGACGCAAGGACGAAAAAGGAAGAAAACATAGAGGAATAGACGAAAAAGGAAGAAAAGGAGAAAGAAAGAAATGAAGAAAGGAAGAAATAAACAAAGTGAATGGGGTGAAGGGCAATCACATCCACGTGGTTAAGCCCTGTATAGGAAGGGGGGGGGGGCAATGAAAGATGTAGGGAGGTCAAGGGGGGCTTTGGCAAAACATGATGTGGGGCAAAAACAATCCCCAATTTTTTCAAGGCGTTAGATCCACCTCATGTATTGCAAAATCGCTCGCCTCTTTGTCGCATGAAGAGGCGCCCCCTACTTCACTGGCTTCCTCCACCATGGCGGCCTGGATGCTGCCTGGAAGCGGGAGCTGAAGAAGTAGGGCAGTAGTAGGGCAGTAGTAATTTCAGGGAGGTCTTCCAGTTTGCTTTTGTCTTTCAGAGATTTTTTCAAGGGAGGAGAAGAAAGTTATGCACTGAGTCAGAGGTTGCAAATCGGCCCCAGTAGTCTGTGTTGGAGGGGCCGTCAAGTCCACGATGCTTCCAAAAAAGGTCCATGGACGCCCGAATGGCCCTGAATGGCCCTGCAGGAGCATATCGCCTCGTTCTTCTCCTTCTCGGGGGTCTTCGGTGGAACCGTGGGAGGAAGACAAGGGCTTGGGGTTCAGGTTTGTGCGAGCGGGGATTGTGACAGTCCCTGGAAGTTTGGGCAATTGTGATCCCAACCATCTGCAAACGCTCCGCGCCGCGACAGCTGGCGTCAGCCTGGCGTTGGGGTTGGTGAACTGAGAAGTTCCGCAGTTCCGCAGCAACGACGCCGAGAGTACGTCCGCGAGGCGGAACCGATCAATGGGAGCCGAAGAAGCCAACACATGGCCCCCGTTGTCAAGGAAGGCAACAGCCTGCTCCATTTGCGTGCTACCTACGTGTTGCCTTTCCTTCGTTTCATCATACACTTTGTTGTAGCAAGGTGTAATTGGGGGGTGCCGGGGGCCAGTTTCCCCGCACCTCAATGCCCTCCTCACTCCAAGCCACATTTCGAGCTCATTCATTTGGGCAGTTGCATCTGTGTTCATATTCTTATCATTCTGATTAACCTTCTCCTTCTTCTTGGTGATCTTAATGTTATTCTTGGCCTTCTTATTTTCTTAGTGTCGTACTCTTATTCCCCCTCTTATTCTTCATATTTTTCTTATTCTTCTTATTCTTCTAGTTTCTTCTTCTTAATGCTTTACATTCTTCCTATTCTTGTCTTCGTATTCTTCGTGTTATTCTTATAGTTATGGTTGTTCTTTTTTTTTTTTCCCTTGTTCTTTCTTCACATGTTCTTATTCTTATACTTTTTCTGTTTTTCTTACTCTTCTTATTCTTCTTCCTCTTCTTAGTCTTCTTAGTCTTCTTAGTCTTCTTCTTCTGATTCTTCTTATTCTTCGTACTCTGTTTAGTCTTGTTCTTGTATGGTGGCTATTATTGTTGCTATCATTGTTGCGATTATTGTGTTTGTTATCATTATTGTTAGTTTTGCTATTCTTCTTGTCCTTTTTGCGCGTTCCTTGCTTGTTGCTGGGCTCAAGTCGTTTTTCTTGTTGTCAGAGCCGTTCGGCATGCGGTGCCACATAATGCCATGATGCGCCAGTTGTACATATATGTGGTTGTGATCTGTTTGAGTTACGCGATTCCGGCATGCCGTGGCAGTCTTTCTTTATTTAATTTTGTTCTCTCTCGCGCTCCCGAAGGGCCCGGAGCGCCCGGCGGACGCCAGGATTTTGATGCCCTCCGGCATGCGGCGGAGTTTTGTTTTTGCTCTCTTTGCTGTCATCCGGGGCCCAAGGATTCGAGGAGCAAGAGCTAGCAAGAGAAAGCGAGCTGTAAATGACTGCGAGTTTTGTGAGATCCTTTGCCAGGCCTCGGCCTGGCGATGTGGGGCGACGCCCGGCCTTTGGGCCACTCCAAGGCTGCCTACAACCTGAGAGTCGACTTTGCCTCCCGGAAGAGCCTCCGGGCTCCTCGGTCGAGTTTAGGTTCGGGAGCTCAGGAAACGGTGCAGGGCGCGAGCAGCCAAGGACCTGCTACGTGGCTGGGGAGGCCGTGCTTCGAGTGGAAGTTAGAGTTCAAGAGTTGAAGTCGACCCACAGGTGGCAAAAGCAGTCCTTAAAGTCAGCGCAAAGAAACGTCCCAAAGACCAAGACCAGCTCAGGACACTCCAAGCCCAACGAAAGCGCCTGCGCATTGCGCGGCCCAAGATCCCAACGGATCCCAACGCCTGATATCCAACTCAGCCAGGTGTGAGCATGCTGCTGCCCAAGTTCAATTCAGATGTGCCCTTTGTGCAGCTTCCACCGGCCTTCGACGGAAACGTGACGAGGGAGAACCTTCCCGAGGCACCCGAAACCCACATTGCACATGACATCACGTGCTGTTCTAGGCAAGGTGAAGAGAATGTGAAGAGTGTTCCAGTTCTGGGCACAGTCGCTTGCCTCGTCATCTGATTCGCCACATAGCCCCGAGCCCTCAGCTTCTGTGGCGCGTGTCCGCGGAGTTCGGCGCGCTCTATGATCTGTCGCCACTCGGTCGAGCTGTGGAGAGACGAGCATAAAGAATGTTTCAACTTGGACCCGAGCGGTCTGCGAACCCAGACACAATGCGAGCTTGAACACGCAAAGCAAAAGAAGCTGAAAAGAAGGGCACCTCTAAGAACAGTCGAGGCTGGAGTATCCCATTTCCGGGCACCCGGGCGTCAAGACCCACTGCTTCTTCGGCTCCGACCTCCCCAGCCCCTCCCGGCTGCTTCGGCCCCACAATGGTATTCAGGGCACCTTTTTGTGTACATTCTTGAATTCTTGTTAAGCCCCGAGCCCGTGAGGTATGTGTATCTGGAAACGCCTGCGAACACGTCAAGAGAGAGCCTGCTGGACCAAGGTGGCAAGGCTCAAGCGGGTTGAAGCCAGCACCTTGCTGGGGTGTGTAGGGACGGTTTTGTGGCTTGCTGTTCCTTTCCCGAAGCTCCAGACTTCCCAGGCCTTGAGGCAGTCACGCGACTTCGGAAGGGCCAGAAGCCGGACCTCATGTCGCTGCTGGGAGGGATTGGCAAAGCTGCAGAGGACTTCATTGACCCCGAGCCCCTCGGCGGCTCTTGGCGGAGGTTTGAGGGAAGCAGGGAATGTCCCGTGCAACGTTCAACGGTGTTCAACAGCGCTTTGCATTTTCAAGGCAGAGGGTGAAAACGATTTGGTGTACTTGACGTGGTGCAACAGCCGACAGCGCCAGGAGCAATGACACGGCTCCATCAGTGCCGGCAGGCTCACCTGGCAGCATTGACTGGTGGGACTCCGTTGCGAAGCTGGTGTCACGTCGGCAGCCGGATGCGCTCGAGACCACCGAGTCCAGATTTAAGTTGTGGATTTGGTGGCCTATGTTGGCCTCTATCCTCACTTCTTTCAATCCTGACTGGTGGTTTGAAACTTGCTGCTAGTGGTTAACTTAGGTAGGTCTTTGTTGTACATACTGCGGCTCTGGTTAGCCATCTGGGTATGTAGTTTCTCTGGTCCTCTGGAGCCGGTGCATAGCACTGTAGCATAGCGCGAGACTGAGAGACAGTTTGCGACCCACAAGACAAGACAAGACTCAGTTGGACGCGGAATTAGCGTTTGGTGTTCAACCTCAGCTTAAGAAGCAGCGCGCAAGCCCAACAAAGGACGGGGACGGCCTCGTGCCCCGGGAGTCCCTGGCCATCTGCGAGGATTGGGTCCAGGCGGATCCCTCCCTGGACGTGGAGATCCACGAGGCCATTTGGGCCATTTGGGGCTAGGCAGCGGCTAGTCCGTGTTCCCCCAAATGTCCCCCCAAAAGAACTCCAAGGCCCGAGGCCCATCGCTTTCAGGTGAAGGGCCGGACGCATGGCTCCGAGATCTTCGATCCAGATACTCTCTTGGCGATGCGGGCGGCAGTGGCCAAGGCCCAATGCTGATCTGATGGGCTTTTGGAGCGCTTGTGTGTTTGGCTACTTCAAAATTCTGAGCCCAAGCAGGTCGCCGGCGTGAAGAACCCAGATGACCACGACACACCGTTTGGAAAACTCTCTCAAAGAGACAGGGACATGCCAAGACCGCTGGAAGAGCCTCGGCAGTTCTCGCGGTGATTGGTCGTCCAAGGTGTTACGATTAGGAGCTATGGGGAAGCTACTGGGAAGCTTGTGATGCTTGGCTTGGCCCCACTGAAGATCCGAAGTGACCTCAGCAACTCGACAAGGGCAGTTCTCTAGCTTCCGTGGTCCCCTTTTGGTTACCCTGGAATCCCTGGAATAAGCTGAAATATGCCGCCCCGCAGGGTCATTTGTTGCGAGCTCTGTAGGAGTTCGTGAAGATCGTGGGACCCGTCGTAGCGCGCTGGGACTGCCGCACCTGGGCCTTGCTCTACTTCCCCGACGGCCACATGCACGGTGCCTTGGACGAGACATGAACCAAGTGAATTGCAGTGGGGATAAGGGGAGGGATTCGGGGATTTCACTTCCTTCGGTTTCGGGGGCTGGTGGGTTGGCATCCTTTGTTCTTGGGTTTCAGGGGAAATAGACACAGGCACTGCAGCTAGAGATTCGTTTCAACACCGTTACATGCGTCGGTTTGTTTTGGGGACGTCTACTGGCCAGGCAGGGGGGGGAGAGTGGCTAGGCAGGGGGTGGAGAGAGGGATAACAACCCGACGGACGCCTTGCGCAATACTGTCAGAGAGGGGCCCCTCACTGCAAACTCAGGGGGGGAACCGTCGGGTCCGCAACAGGTAGAGGTCTTAATTCGGGGCGGATGAGAACATCTATTCCACATGAGACAGGCGTGCATGTTTTTGCCTCTAGAACCTTGGTTCGCTCTTGTTGGGTGTGGTGCGTTAGGTTCTCTAGCAGAGTCGGAGCAGGGTTCTCTGTTTGGACAGTTCTACCGGGTACGCACTTTTCACCTTTGAGTAGGTTAGAAACAAAGCAGAGTCGGAGCAGAGTGTAAACCGGGGGCTACGGGGAGGATTTCGGAAAGGTTGGCCGGAGGTCGTTGCGAAACAGGCGGTTTAGGGGAAGCGCTTCGACCCACACCCCAAAACGGGGGACCAGAATAGCAGGCGGCGAAGGAAGGGCAAGCAACTGATCATAGAGGATAAGTCTACAATTCATGGTGGCGGCCGATTAGGGGATCAGTTGTCTCTGCCCAGACGATTCTGCAAGCCGAAGGTGGATCGGGGCGAGAAGTTTTTCACAGGGGCGGCTAGTCAGGGTTGAGGAGGACATTGCCATTTCGGGGCGGATCGACCGTCTCACACGGTGGAGCAAAGTGGGATGCCAAACAACCCCTGACAAGCATGGACGAGATGGGTGTAGGGCCAGTGCAGGGCTAAGGGTGCTGTGTATTTACGCTTTGGGTTTCTCACAACGGGGGAGTCGTCAAGCTGTGCGGAAAATCTCCAGTCTCCAGCGTACATTCTCACACGGACTCCGAGACCATCTGGCCTCGCCCAGTGCGCGGGGGGTGCTTGCGCCCCTCAAGCCCCGTAGTAGAAGAAGAAGAAGAAGAAGAAGAAGAAGAAGAAGAAGAAGAAGAAGAAGAAGAAGAAGAAGAAGAAGAAGAAGAAGAAGAAGAAGAGAGTCCGAAGACAGGGGGGAAAGAAGGGTTAACCCCCCTCCCGCCCCCACCGAGCTGATGCACCTTTCGCTCCACAATCCGGTGTGCATGCGGACTGCGCCAAGGGAGGGGAGAGTGAGAGAAACAGAGCGCGAGAGAGAGAGAGAGGTACAGAGAGAGAGAGAGAGAGAGAAAAAAAAAGAGAAAGAGAAAAGAGAAAGACAGAAAGAAATAAAGAAAGAAAGAAAAAAGAAAAGGAAAAGAAAAGAACAGAACATATGCAAGAAAAGAACAGAAAAGAAAGAACAAAAG